GCCCATGCCCGCTACAGGGCCGGGAAGTCCGGGTGAGGGTGATCCGCTGCCCTCCTTTAATGCTGACTTTCTGAAGGAACATCTTGAGAAGCTGGATACCTTCAAGTCAGCTGGCCCTGACAATCTTCACCCCAGGGTACTCAAGGAGCTGGCGAGCATCATAGCCCAGCTATGTTGGCTAGCACTATGGAAGAAAGAGACTTGGGGGTCATCATTGACCACAAGATGAACACGAGCTTGCAATGCGATGCGGCAGCTAGTAAAGCGACCAAAACTCTGGTTTGCATCCATAGATGCTTCTCAAGCAAATCCCGGGACGTCATTCTCCCCCTGTACTCGGCCTTAGTGAGGCCGCAGCTGGAGTACTGTGTCCAGTTTTGGGCTCCACAATTCAAAAAGGATGTGGAGAAGCTTGAGAGAGTCCAGAGAAGAGCCACGCGCATGATCAGAGGTCAGGGAAGCAGACCCTACGATGACAGGCTGAGAGCCCTGGGGCTCTTTAGCCTGAAAAAGCGCAGGCTCAGGGGTGATCTGATGGCCACCTACAAGTTTATCAGGGGTGACCACCAGCATCTGGGGGAACGTTTGTTCACCAGAGCGCCCCAAGGGATGACGAGGTCGAATGGTCACAAACTACTTCAAGACCGTTTCAGGCTGGACATAAGGAAGAACTTCTTTACTGTCCGAGCCCCCAAGGTCTGGAACAGCCTGCCACCGGAGGTGGTTCAAGCGCCTTCATTGAACACCTTCAAGATGAAACTGGATGCTTATCTTGCTGGGATCCTATGACCCCAGCTGACTTCCTGCCCTTTGGGCGGGGGGCTGGACTCGATGATCTTCCGAGGTCCCTTCCAGCCCTGATGTCTATGAAATCTATGAAATCTATGAAATCTGTCAGTGCCCAAGGAAACCCTTAGTCAATGCGTATGTCAAATCCTGCAGGAGCCAGGCATCTGCAAATGACAGAGGTGGCCTAATATAACTTTTACCTCCAACGATAATAATCTGGTCTCCAATCACCACTGCCGGTGCACAGACATTCTTCACTATTCTGGTCTCCATTCGAAACCACATGTTCCTGGATACATGGTAAACCTGGAAAATAAACAGAGATACACAGCAGATGATTGCAGCTACAGGGGAAGTTATGTTTTTGTTTGTTTTTGCTTGTTAACATATGTGGGAACAGCCTAGAGGGTTGATTTCCTAGAAAATGAAAATTTTTTTCCATGTTTTTTCCCCCTAATATGTCCACTCTGAGAACAACACAATTGTTAAACCTTGTAAACACGAGGATGTTTGTGCACAGTTAGCTAGGGTATGGATTTGCTTAAGTGCATAAACTACTTCACATTTACTCCCCTTGTGGACACTCTCTGGATATAGATATGCAAAAAATGTATCTTATAGCTATAGAAGGCAAAGCTTTTTCTGTCCATCAGCTGCTACATGGCAACTGTCAGTTTGTACAGTCCTACAGCAGAGTAAATAAAAGGGAACTAATGATAATTTACTTCTTTCATTGAGGACTTGGTTATGACAGATGAGCTTGTGCTGACTGCAGGGCTAATTTGTGCATGCAGTTAGTTATTGAGGAGCAGAGGTCACGTGGTAAAGCTCCCACCCTCTTTTAGCCTGTAGTAAATTGTTCATATGTCCATACCATTACAAGGTTGCAGTGTACTCCCTTTTCATGCCTGTGCTTACTGCACAATACTTTTCCTGTGTAGTCAATTGTTTTGGTCCACCTGTGTCTAGATGGCCCATCAGGCTAACATGGTAAGGCACACCAGCTTCAGAGCCAAGAGTGCACAAGGCAGTGATGTGTCCAAATAACTAGAAAGGTCATTTACAGCTGGGTTTACTGAAGGCAGCCCTTGGGTTGAACCTGGAGTCACATTGGTGCTCATGCCTCTGGACCTGTAGCAAAATGCTTTAATTGCTCTGCAACTGAATCTCTTCCTCCTGTGTGGACAAGCCCTTATTTTATGTAGATTTGCTGACAGCCACCTTGTTAACCAAATTGCTGTATTCATATTGGTGCCTGGTACAGGTCAGGCTGGCATAGATAATTGATAATGGGATTTTGACTCATTAATCTCTATGTCACCAATTCAAATGTAGCCCTTGTTGTTATTGATAGAAACCTATTGCTAGACAATGGCTGTTTGGTGGCTGATATTTGGTCTTTTGAACATCTCTCTGAATACATGGACAATATTTCTTTCTGCTAGTAACCAGATAACATCCCTATGGTAAATACAACATTTGTTTATACAGTGGTGATCATCTTAGCCACCTTATGCTGATTCAGAGAAGCAGCGAATCAGACATAGACACAGCTTTAAATGTTTTTTCTACATACCTTGTGGTACCAGTGTGGCTTGTGAACACTATGATGCTGGGGTGCATGGAGTGTCCCACAGGAGTTGCGTGGGGGGAGGCCTCCACCTGCTTGGTGGTGAACCCAGAAGTGGACTGGAAGTACTTCTGGTACACTTGTGGGTCTGCCGGGGAGCATGCTTGGGGCCCCTCCGCAACACCTGGCTCAGCAATTGGCTGCAGGGGGATCCTAGGTGCCCCCCCCCCAAACGCAGGAGGCACCAGTCACCAAGCCAGGGGGGTGCGGGTGGCCCCCCTGCATGCTCCCTGGCTTCTGGTCCACTTCCGGGTCTGCTGCTGAGCACGCTGGGGAGCCCCCCATGCTACTGTAGGACGCTTTATCTGCCTCAGCACTGCAGCATTCACAAGCTGCCTGGTACCTAGAGGTACATAGAAAAAACATTTAAAGCTGTGTCTATCTTCAAATCTTTCTGAATCTCTTCAGATGGATTCAGAGGGTTCTGATTTGATTCAGAGAGATTAAATGGTCCTCTGATTCAATTTGGATTCAGAGATTTGGCCACCGAATCGGGCTGAATCTCCGCCGATTCAAATCGGGGACCAAAGCTTCACACAGCCCTAGTATCCAACTGGCAATCTGCAGGCCATCAACAAGGACCACAGTTTTAGAACCAATGGCTGGTGTAAAATGAACTGATGATTTAAGTCCTTGGTCCCAGTGAGTAGGAAATCAGTCATAATAACCACCATCATGAAGAGAGCCTTTGCTGATAATGTCAGTGGAGAGACCAGTGACTGAGTCCTTGATTCAACCAGATACTTAGACACGGTCCTAACAAGAACAACTGACTTCAAATGGATGCACATATTAGGCATGTGGCTTAGCATCTATTTGTAAGACCACTATATGACATCTTTCTAAAGCAATAAAATCAGTCAAGGCTAAGCCCTCACTTGGCTTAACTTAGACTTTCAAAGAAACCAATGGGAGTTTGCCTGGGAAAGGATGGAATAAAACTTAAGGAAGGCTCTTAGGGACAATAATAAAGGTTTCTTTTGGAAATAAGAAAGGAATTTAAATACCATTCTCCTTCATATAGGACACCATGGAATGAGCATTTCCAACTTATCATGTGTTTCTTGCCATCTACTGCATGAGACAGAAGATAATTTGGTTCAACATTGGGCTTTGATTTCATCAGCAAGTTTTGGGTGAGACGCACTGAATATGTTCAAGAAAATGAGATGGGCAGGTCAAGGAGTTACCTGTATTAGACGGACTGGGTTTTGCATGATGTCTTCCCCTCCAAAGAGATAAATTCTTTGCTCTTTAGCAGCTACTGCAGGGTGAAGGACAGCAACAGGCATGTTTGCCATGTTCTCACAGGTGTTATAAATGCTGTCATACCTCTCTACAGAGTTCAGAATTTCTTGGTTCTCTCCAATTCCTCCAAATGAGAAGATATAATTTTTATAGGCTATGCTCCTGTGGGAGTAACGTGGAATTAGCATAGGTTCAACTAACCTCCACTGATTTAGTTTGAGGGAGAAAATATAAATGTTATCACTGATTGGGCTTCTATTGTCATTAATGGGTCTCCCTCCTAGCACATAAATATTGCTGTGCAGACTCACTGAGGAGGCTTTGTAAAGGCGCACAGGAAGTTTGGCAAGGCTAAGCCATTGACTGGTCTTTTCATTATATAGTAGGACATCTCTGGTTGTCTGCTGGTTGTCCTTCCTGCCACCAATGAGGATGAGGAATTCTTGGTATGAATACCTACGAGGAACATGCCACAGAGGTTTGATGTCAGGAGCACTAGTGCTATACAAAGAAAACATCTGTCTTCTGGCTGACTCTAGGATGTTCCTGCAAGTGGGTGAAGACTGAATGAGGGAGTCATTGGCAATGAAGTGGAAGAGGAAGGTTGGGTGGACGTACTGAAGCCGGACCTTTCTGAACAAGTCGTGGATGTAACCCTGTCGGGCCTGGAGATCATGCTGGATCCAGATCATCAATGTTTCAAAAACCTGTTCTTCCTCACCACAGAGCTCATCATCTCCAAGGTAGTCAATCAGTTCAAAGGCACAAAGCTCTTTCAGGTCCTCAGAAGAGGCTACGTCAGGAAAGTATTTCAATGCCATTGCCTTGGCTTTCATATTGAGATTTTGGCAGTTCAAGATTTTGGAGAGCCTGCTCATGCTCAGGCAGTTATCAGGAGTCAACTTGTCTTGGAGGTACAAAGAGCAGGCCTCGAACAATTTAACATACTGCAGCATGGAAGAAGCCTCAAATAGGTACAAAACATTGTCAGCTGTGATAAGAATCTCCCCGGTGTAAACATAGAGGATAATCTGATATAAAATATTGGAGTCAATGCCTTTCAGGTCAACTGTTGCCTGGCGACTCTCTTTAAAGTTGTTGCAGAACATCGCCTTGAAATACGGACTGCTTGAAGCAAGGACATTCCTGTGGCAAGGGATTTCAAAGCCATCAGTGCACAGCGTAACGTCAGTCAGCATCGCGTTCTGCCTTAAAGCATTGAGCTGCCTCAGCAATTCTGAGGAGAAATCGTGGTCTTTGAAGAGAAATTCCTCTGCAGAGCCCTCCTCCATGGTCAAACAGGATAGATGTGAATGCTGGACTAGGCAGGGATAGTACAGTCTTAGCAGCTGCTATATAAATGTCCGCTCTGAAGTGACCAGGGATCAGGACTTTGGTTACTCTAAATATCTTTCCTCTGTCTGCACATAAAATTGGGAACGCTAGTTAAGCACAGTGGGAAAGGACTAAAGAGCCTAAGAGGTCACTTAAAACCCTTTTTTTAAAGTTTATCAGATGGGTTAGAGCTCTGAAGTCAGCTTCTTCTATTAGCCTGATAAAAAGCAAAAGCATTAACGTTAATCTTGCTGATTTGCAGTGAAAGCTAGAAGTCCAAAGCAAATGGTTTGTTCATTTCAATCAGATCTAATAAACTTGCTTAGCCACTTATTCACGATTTTGAAGTATTCACAGTTTAGTAGCTTATGTCTCTCTCCCTCAGCGTTAGTCATGCCCAAAGAATGTAAATCTGGCAGAGCTAAACTCTGCAGCAGGACAAACTAAACCCGAGAGACTGGGCATCTGCTTTAAAATAGCTATTTATTAACTCTGCTTAGCGGCTGCTTCTTTATATTAATCAGACACACAATGACTAAATAATGCACAAGGCAGAACAATAAGGCGGCTATCAATTTGCATGACTACCCAGCTGCTCAACCTGCAGGGAAATCGCGTGGTAGAAATGTTTACCTTAGATTGTCCTTCCCTGCATTCACTCACTCTATGGCGTTTAGGCTCTGCTGAGATTTTCCATAGCTAGTGCCTGAGTAAAAGCTACAAACTCACAAGACGTTCCTTTCGGTAGGTAAGTGATTCATGGAGGGTGATTTCTGGATTTGTTTATTCTCAAGGTACTTTTGCTGCTTGCGGGAGCTCTGTGAAAGAGCCAGTCGGCAGCGCGGCATTGTCCGCATTCCAGGGCTAAGAATAGTTGCGTGTGGACTTCGTGATGTTATCACATGTGACTTTGCAGTTGCCTTTTGCAACAACCTGGACAGTACCGAGCATGCCCAATTGCTGTTTTTCTGGCAAATGTTTATGTACAATAAATAGACACCGAGATGAAAGTTCACTTATAAACGTCCCGCCTGTCTCTTTGAAAACAGCCACAAGGCCCTGTCCTAAAGTGCTTGGGAATTCTAGAAGGCTGTAAACAGCCTGAAATGTTTAGTGTTAAGTCATGCACTGTTAGGTATTTTCATTCGAAGGGAGGAGAAAACAGGGGCAACAAGGCTAGGGCCAGACATTACACATAAACCAGTTTAAGTGACCAGAAACTGGGTTAAACCTGTAATAGAATAAATGTTCAGTGCATGTAAACCAGGTGCAAAATGGCTGAAAGCGGTTTGAGATAAACCTGGTTGAATGTCAGACATAACTGATTGAACTCAAACCAGGTCTGACCGCTCATGTAGGTTCCTAGCCGAAATACAGGACCTCCATCTAACCCAGGAGGTGCACAGCCCCACCAGGAGAGACGCCTTGTTGGACCTGGTGCTGGCCACAGGCGATGACCTTGTGCGGGGGCTGCGGGTGCTGGACCACCTGGGCGACAGCAATCATTGCCTGCTGGAATTCACCATCCAGCACAAGGTAGCAAAGGCCTGCAGCAAGGGAGAAGCCCTAGACTTCAGGAGTGCGGACTTCAATGAGGTCAGGAGAATAGTTGGGGAGGTACTGAGGTCCCGGAGGGGAGGGGAGGGGAGTCAGGTGTCCAAGAAGAGTGGTCGTTCCTTAAGGAGACGATCCTCCAAGCCCAAAGAGAGGTAATCCCAACAAGGATCAAAGGGGACAAGAGGGTGCAAAAGCCTCCATGGCTCATCAAAAGCATACAGGAACGTATCCTAGCTAAAAGGGAAGCATACACCCAATGGAAGGGAGGGGCCATCACCAGGGAGGACTATACCTCGGTAGCTCGGGGCTGCAGGGGGGCGGTCAGGAAGGCCAAGGCGGAGATGGGACTGGGACTAGCGACCCGGATGAAGGACAACAAGAAGTCCGTTTTTAAATACATAGGGGGCAAAAAGAAGGTACCGGGTAACATGGGGCCTCTGCAAGACACGTTAGGAAATCTGGTTGTTGCACCAGATAACAAAGCTAACCTATTTAACAATTTCTTTGCCTCCATTTTCCTGAGCAGGGAACAGATCAGCCCGTCTGCCAGGACCCCCTCAGGCCCCAGGGGAGGTGCACCCAGGCCTAGGGTCAGTGAGGATCTAGTCAGGGAACTTCTGGAGGGACTGGA